CCGACAATTTGAACATGTGTGAGGTGTCAAAAATTGCACGGGTTGTAAATTTCAGAAAGTTTGAAAGCTTTGACCAATGATTCTGACTTTTTGGCACAATTTGTGACAAGCGACGAGATTTAGCTGCATCTTAAAAAATCTAAAGCAGAAACAGAATCCAAGCAGTGGTTTCGTAAAGGGTCTCTACCACACAAAAAGCGCGGGCGAAGCTCTCTGCCGGAAAATTTATTGCCACAGTTTTTTGGGACATCAGGGACATCCAACTTATTGAAAATATACCAAAAGGGACAATAATAATTACGAGCATCTATGGGAACGCGCTGAAAAATTTACGCAAATCAATCAACAAGAAAAGACCCGATTTTCCAATCAGCAAAAGGCTACCAAAATTAGATCAATTGTAGCTGCGTTGAGATAAAGTCACGACTTCGAAAAATCTTCAAGGATGCCGTTCTGACTCAGATGATGGCCTAAAAGCAGCCTAAGAGTCAAGAGGAAACACTTTTACAAGGGTATAAGATTACTGGAGGAGACAGGGCGCAAGTAGTAGTAGACATTTATTTACTCCATTATATAAGAACAATAACAACATAGACGGCTTAAATAAATGTTTCAATCCATAAAAATGAATTATACAATGAAATAATCACTGCAGATTGTTTGTCTGCGCAGGCGCACTGCGATAACGTCGCCTGGCTGGTTGCACAGGGTGGTGTGAATCTGCTTGTATAAGGTGATGCGGGTTGACGTACCGGAATGATGCGAGTCCTTGTACTGCAGTGTACAACACATTCTTTTGACCATGCGTCGGAGCTTGCCCAAGATTTCCTGACACAAAAAGTGTCCGGAGATAGCTAGGACAGATCCGGGGAATCCCGGTCGGATGGCAGCCCTACTTTGATGTAATGTTACATCTGCCTTAGAGATGGCACTAATGGAGGCCATTCATAGCTTCGGTAACCTAAGCAATAAGTTCTATACTATATGCCGTTGTACGATCCCTCTAAAGGTGAGTACCCGTGCCTTGGGCTAGCGCACAGCTAGTACGTAAGTGACAAGTATAGCGATCGAATCGCTATCATAGCTGTTACTTTACATAATATGGGTGCGGGCTTCCCCTTATTCCTTTTGCTGTATATTGATCCCATATCTACGCCACTGTAGTCTGTTTACATCAGTTATCGCCGCCTGAAGATAAGCCCACTTGTGTTACAATATATCGATTGCATAATAGAGAATAGGTTCTGTTCTGGAAAGCTTTGTTAACCGAGGTTGAGAGGGTATCACCTTGGTGACCGCAGCTCCCACGCAACTAAACTCGCCGTGAAGATCAATTCCTTTTGTGGGGCTGATAAAATTGATCCGAACTTTACCTCGCTTCTGGTTCAGTAGGTAAAGGTGACTCTCTTTGCTTTTAGCCAAGGGAGAGAATATATTAAAGATTTCGGTGACTTATTCCAAAGCATAGAGAATTAAATGGATCTAGCTGATAGATTAAAATGTTTTTTCACTAATTACCAGAATTTCAGAAATTTGTTGTCAAAGGTAACCAAAATAAAACTCCCTTATTCTGAACAAGGTTGAATATTCCGACTCTGTATATCGTCCTTGTTTGAAACAAACGTAAGCCCAACGAATACAACGAAGTAGATTTGAAAGGACATCTTATATTAAAATGATCCGTTGGCTTATGATGAGATACAAAGATGATCTGTTTGGTTCATTCGGTCTTACTAAGGAAAAAAGCAGATTAATGGCATTAAAAGTTATCTTTGAGAACTAACATCCATTATATTAACTTGAGATATGAGCGCCACACTTTGGATGTTCCCAAGCATAAAACATCAAATTCTGAAAGCCCCTTTTTATATATAGCATCTAATTTGTGTAACGTATCAAATCTGGTAATCTTCTTTTACTATTTTGATCACTTACCAGTAGTTTGAATTTCTCTTTTATTAATGGCAGAGTATCGATTCCTAACACAAACCCTTTTCAATGATTTTCTTTTGGCAAATTTCAAAATTTAATGATTGTATGATTTTATACGTATTATATCTTTCGTTCTTAGCCTTTTCAGTATTGTGTTGAAGTCTTTTGGATACTAATGTTATAATATTTTATTAGTAACTATCTCAGAAAATTCCTCATAAAGTGCTCATTCCTCGTAGAATTGGTTTTCTAGGGTCTGCGTATTGGCAATCAGCGCGTACTAACCTATATAAGCATATTTGGTTTCCTATCAAACAAATTTTCAAGATCACTCACTTAACTTTCTTTTATATAGTTAGGTGTTAGCTGCCAGACACTTTCCTGTTGAATCCTAGGTTATATAGTGCATGGGTCGCCCGTTTGATTTCCAGATTTTGGGATATTCGGCCCTAATCGCCAGTTTATGCAGTAGCGCCCTTTCTTCTGCCTATTTTTCGTTTAATTGTTCTGGTTTAGGTGCTCTATTTTTTATGGGATGTTTACCTTCAGTGGTAAGTTATTTTTTTATACCATCGGACTACGTGCATTAATGCATGTCCTGAAGAAGTTGAATATCTGCTTCCTTTTAGTGGGAAGGCATTGAGGAGAACTGCCATTCACACTTGTCCCGCTTTGTAGCTGCTTTGTTGTTTCGTAGTCGATTTTACTGGAAGCCACCCCTTTCCCTTGGGAAAAAATCCCTGATGTGAACAGGTAAAATATCATTTTAATTAACTCTTTTATAGATATTTATATATTGATTGTTGTTGTCTCAAGTTCTTAGATTGTACTTGATTTTGTTTGGAATTTTCCATATTCAAATATGGGGCAGTGCCTTCATGGCACCTTCTATTGGGCTTACTCCATTCTTTGATCTAGATTTTGATTTTTGAGCTGTCATAACTTTTTTAGGACAAGGGATACCTTTCTGATGGTATATCACTTTAGTACATTTTTCAACTTTCTACCTTTGCTTTACTTTTCTTGTAAAAATTTACATGTTTTTTTTTTCAAGTTCGAGAGTTTTGATGAATTGTTTTGTCTCAGACAGCTAGGGCTTAAATTTGGACGCGACTAGACAGCTGTTTTGCATTGGCATACCCTTAGATTTCATTTATCGTGTTATATTCATTTATCAATTAACTAAAAAAGGAAAGAAGAATCACACCACCATTTCCTCTTGTTTATAAAAAAAGGCGCGACATTGTACAACAGGATTTCTCCCACTCTTAAAACCAAGTCCCTCAGAGCTTTCAAACCAGGAATCAATGATCTGATACTAGCCACTGATTTTGTTCAATTTTATTTGATTCTGGGACTGTGACTATGTAAATGCTTTGTTTGTGATTCTTATGTTTTGTCTTTGTTTGTTTTTTTTTTCAATGTGTTACACTCATTTCTATTTAAAGATTGTATACATGAATCCCTAGTTGGCATGGAAGAACAGCATTTCCAAATTGTTTCAGGTAAAAATAAAGGCTTTTCATCATCATTATTATTACCACGATAGCTATTGATATTGTTATAAACTACTATTTCTGACCGCAATATCCAACTGAGAGGTACGTATTCTCTCAATAAGTAAATAATGATAACAATAAATATCTGGGTGCATCATAATGTGATTTAAATTTTTAACTGCTAACTTCCTTATATCTTTAAAAACTGAAACATTTGATAACGAGTGAGAAATAACTGATATTTGGTACAGCTCGTCACGTCTTTTGCGTATTTCAATAATCTGGAGTCTTTCTTCTTCTTTTATAAGTAAAAGGCGGTAAGGTTCAGTTAAATTTTGACGCCAATAATATATTTCTTCTATGATTACAATTATGCTATTATTTGTGAATAAGTATATACCTTTATGAATACTTACTTTTGCTTCGAAAGAATAATTTTGAAAGATATTGTAATGGTATAATAATAACAGTCTTCGTTTAAGATAACGCATACTGTTCTTAGCTTATCTATCTTATATAGTTATCTTTGTCGAATGTTTTTATTAAATAATTATATTAATATCAAATTAAGTTATTAAATATAGAAAGGATTTACTTTGTTACTTTTGACACCCTCATGCTGGGCTACCGTCGGCTTTGCTGAATTCGGAGCATCTGCAGGTAAAGGATATCTTGTGTTTCTGAGGTAGGTCGTGTTGCTGAGGTCACAGACGCAAATATTATTCGATATGATAAAATATCTTTTACTGGTACCAAAAGTGCAAAATTTACAAACGCCTACCTCCTACAACTAGCAACCTGCCACCACATATTTAATCCCTACAAACATTTGTCTGAAGCGTCAAAAAACGAAGATTGTCGATTTTTTTTCGTTTTTTGTCCCTAGCTCCGCCGTCAGTGACCCAATCTTCAAAAACTACAAATATTTTCGATCCTTGGCGTAATAGAAAACATGAGCGATAATTCCATCAAAATTCGATCGTTACCTTTCAAGCAGGGTCAAGGAATGGCGGACCGACTGACCGACAGACAAATATACTGACGGAAATGGGTGACATGGTTTTTCGCAATGTACATGCAATATGACGTCCAAGAAACACAATATCTTATTTTTGAAATGCTGCTCGATTACAATACTTCCTAGCCAGTGGCGTGACAAGTAAAAGGATCTTCGAAATGTCATAGCCACCTTTCAATTTAAAAAACAGTTCCAAGATGGCGCCAAGCTGACATCATAAAATTTTCGCCTGTCACCTTAATATTGCTGAAATTGACAGACATCGCTGTTTTGTGCTCATTAGCAACTTGTCAGTGCGGTACAGGCCTTGAATCTAGGCTAGAAGACAGACAAAACGGGAAGCAAACCAGTGAACCAATTTGAGAAACTTGTAACAGTTGCCTTTTATTGCCGATGAATCATATATTTTTTGTTGTTGTTGTTGTTGCCGCACAGGTTTAATTTGAAGTAATGCAGCAAGAACTTGAGAAGGAAGAAACAAAAGCCGATAATCTAATCTAATAATCTCCGTAGCATATTATTTTTATTCATAGCATATTATTAAATCAATTTTATTGACAAAAATGACTAGACCGGCCCATTGGCCATTTCCCAAGAAAGGGCTTGTTTTTAACGGTGTATTTAGCTAACAAACAACACATTAATACCACGGAATAACTATAATTTTTAATTTGTATCTTCTGTAGTCGTTTGGCTGCCTGTATATAGTAGTCAGCATCTTCCATGTCACTGAACAATTTGGGAACTGAAACCAAATATTTCTCAATCAATTAAACATAATCCATCCTGATCTATTTTATAATCCAAAAATTTCAATTATTAAATTTAACGTACAGCAATCGCACTCCATTTTGATTATCTTTACAGTTTCCACCACTAAGTTTATAAATGTGTAGTCAATTTTCCATGCATTCAGGTACTTAATTGAAGAATTTACTCACCCTGATATGGACAATTTCTTGTGTTGCCTAGTAATTTCCCTGGTTCACCATGAGTAATAATTTTAGTATTCATCTCCACATATTTTCATTAATAACTCGGTTGCTTCCATCCCATGCTAGATCTTCCACCGTCAAGAAATCAATTCATTCCCGAAATTTTCGCCTCGGGGATTTGTTTACATCCCAACAACAATCCGGTTTGTCACTCCGGAGCTAAAAATAAATAAATAAATAAATAAATGTACATCTATAAATTGATATCACCTTCTGAATTAAAAACTATTTGTGTTGCATAAATATTATTACTCACCTATTGAACTATGTATTTCTTTTATAGTCAGATGAATTTATTATTGTTTTCTGAAATCTTCCAATGTCAAAGGCTGATGTCGCTGATGTCGAGGTACTATTCTGCGTACCGAACTACTTGCACACCTCGCTTGTTCCGCATAGTTGCCAATTTTATTTCAGAATTTCCTTATGTTTATTAATCAATCAAATTTATATGCAGATATGACAGTCTTGCCACATTTATTCACTTGAATTTATATTAGGAACCTTCTCATTTTGGGATTAGCTGACAACGTTTGGCTCTTAATGGTCAGGCGTACAACTATATTTGGAAATGTCAAGTCGCAAAAAATAAATTTTGGGATGGGACTTCCTTCCACTTGTTCTGTTCCGCTAGTGCCAGAATACCTGAAATTTTCCTCTTTTTTGCCTGGGGCATCTTCGTTGGATTGTGGAAGAAAATTTCAAAGATAATTTCCTGGGTCATTCCTGTTGTGAGTGCGTAGCATCTTTTTTTTGTCTACCCTTGGACCCGAGAAATTCTACAATTTGTAGGATCTTATTGTCTTCAGCCGCACTTTTCGCCAGACGGAACCACGTGAAAAACCTTACCCGACATCATATAACTGAGCATTCTTTTATTTTAAGTAAATGAAAATTTAGGCAAAAGACCATATTTCTCATATATATAGTATGAGTTTTCTCAAAAGTAAATAATTATTCTTGTTCTAAAATGGAGTTAACTTAGTATTCTGTGGAGCATGCGTTGGTTTTATGATATCTTTAGAGTAACTCAAAGTGTAATTTTAAATCTGTTATACCGGGTGGTCAAAAATCATAATTGAATTATCTAAAATATTTAATTTCTATTCGCTCCTTTTTTTCCTTCTCGTATAATTAATATTCAATATTTGAAGATTACTTTTCCAATTACTTTGATTGTTTTTAACTATAATTTGTTTTTTTTATACTGCTACATTCGATCGCCTGAATACTATTATTCTTCCTAGGGTTTTTATTTTGGGGGAATCTTCGCTACTGGAGATCCATTGACACGTTTTCTACCGGGGACCTCTTTCCGAACAGATACCCTTTTTTCACCATAGGGATTCTTACGTCATCGGGTTTGAAGCCTTCCTCGCCCATTTTTAATTAGTTAGTCAATAAGCTTTCGCATTAAGGGAGATCTCCTAGTTTGACTGGCTTAAATTTTTGTTGTTAGATGTAATGAAATGTATTGATGTTAATTTTAGCAATTATTTATCCACACAGAAAATCTATTGTTTGTATGTACTTTTGTTTTTGTTTCTGGGGGTTTTGGGCTAAAGAGTGCCTTTCAACACCAAGGCGTCTTCCAGTTTTGGCGGATAAAAGCTGGTGGCGCCCCTAAAAAATACCCCTCCTACTCTCCGTTGTACCTGAGCATAGGGCCTAATTTGCCAACGCTAAACCACGGCTTTAGCCTCAGTAACCCCTAGTTTTTTTTAATCATCCATTGCCTCAATTGAGAGAAATAACTTTAGCTTAAAATTAAAAAGTGATCCTAATTAAAAAAAAGAGCGTGGCAAACTCAAAGCCTTGTGCGCAAGTAGGTTAAAATCTGACGATTGACATCAACCAATGGTTTGTCAAAGCTGATTTTCATCCTCATCCCATAGATGAAAACAAACAGGGAAACGACGTTCTCTAGCCCACAACCAATCGACATTCTGCACATATATATCGCACCGCACCAATACGATTGACCGTCAAGTGGTCGGAACAGTACGCATAAATCAACACGGCATTTCTTTTCTGTAACCATGACCAACCGCAGACAGCGTTGTTTCCTACATGCTGACTTGGCCCGTTCATAAAGGCACCGTATATTTTCATGCGAAGTTCCCTTGGCTGGAAGGACTACCGTCGCCAACTCTGCCTTGATCGTGGCCGTCGTTGTCGAGAAAAGCAGCAGCAGCAGCAGCAACTCCGTAATCCTCATTTAATGAAATTCCAGGAGGCGGCGTGGCGGCGGGCGTCGGAAGGAGCACCTCGTCATTATCGGCTTCTTTTATTCTACATATAACCTTTCACATACCGCATCCATTGTCAGACCACCGCGCCGCTCTCAAACAGACTATTTCATGTAATTGTGCAGAAAAGTCCGACTCTGACTTTGCCTGGCGAGGCGCCAGGTCAGGATTGAGATTGTACCGAACAAATTTTCAGGACTACTTTGAGGTAGGCAGTGGCTTCATACACAAAAAGAGCAGTTTTGAGTCGAGTGTAATTCAGTCGTAGTTAATGGCCCTCAGGGGGTGGTTGTTTGCACCTTGGTTTTTGGATGGAAATGGTTGTGGTTTTTGCGCCACCTAGTTCGTTCTAAGAAGTAGGAAAAGAATAACAAGTGACCAATGTTTGGATCTCTGGCGCTAAAGGAGACACAAACTCACTAGGTACACAAACATTTATTGAACAAAATAAAGTTATTTTATACTATCCCCTCAGCTAAACGGTTAGCAATAAAACTAAAATAAAAAGGAAGAGAAAGAAACGACCTAGGCAGGTGCTTGGCTATCTCAGGTAGGCAACCGAGGGCAGGAAGTCTCAGATGCAACTCAATACCCGAAGGTAGAATACTAAATAGAAAAAATGCTTTTTAAAAATAACCCGAAATAACGATTTGGCTAATAATCCCCCCTTTTAATTTGTTTTCGAGAATTAACTTTAAAAAGAAACCATTTAGTCATGGGTACATCAATTCAAAAATTTAGAATCAAAACAAGGCTGCTGTTGAATCACGGTGCACAAGGAAAATCGTGATTGCACTAGCAATACCCAAATTTATAAATTAACCTGAACTAAATTAAAATAATCAGATAGAAAAAACTATGAGGACTAGGAGGGAAATATTTCATGTCCTCACTCAAATTATTAAGTAAAGCAATTAAAATATTATACAGGGTGTCCGCAAAGTTGGGGTTTTCCTTTTCAGAAACAACTACCCTTGAAATAACAAAGGTAATGTGTAGTGCAACGAGGGCGACCAAGTAAAAAAAAATAAAGGAAAAAGTACTCACTCTCCAGTTGACGAGAAGGGCTAAGTACGTCTCTGCCTGAAATCGAAAGTTATTCACCCCACTACGCGTGAACGTAGATTCGTCTGTCACCAATATGCACTTCAAAAAGTCCGGATTATTGTCATGTTGATGCAACAACCACTCACAAAGTCGTACTCTTGCTGGAAAATCGTCAGGTTGAAGGGCTTGTACACGTTGGACGTTTGCCACACTTTAGTTTTTGATACTTGCACGTCTCTAGCCACGTCTCTAGTGCTTGTTGAGGGATTCTCGTCTACGCGATTCAGTAGTTCTTCCTCAACTTGCACCATTCGTGGTTGTCTAGGCCTCCCACTGTGCCCACCTCGAAATTCCTCCAAATGGCCCGCATCCCTGACTCTCTGGACCAGGTACACAAATCTGCGGGGCCTTGGATGATGTCGTCTAGGGAAACGATCTGCATACACTCGCGACGATTCTGTATCATTTTGAAGACATTCGCCATAAATTAACAACATATCAACGAGTTCATTATTGGTGTATGAGTGTGCCATTATTATTTTTTTTTGAAACGCAATCGATTATACGGGTTCGTTACCTCTATACGCGTGACCCTTTACCGTCGGTTGAAGGTTGCATACTGACCTGACACACTGACCCCGACCCCCGACCCAGTTCTGTCGTTGGGTTCAGCTAGTAGCCGGTACCAGTCTGAGATATCGCGGGTCGCGGCTACAGGACGGTATTCAGATATTTTTGATGTTGCAGAGCCCTTTGTCTCGGTTCCCTTAAGACATTGGTGTATATGGTACTAAGAAAAATTGTTTATGTTTTCAAGATCTACACGTCGTGCAAAGGAAAACCCCAACTTTGCGGACACCTTGTATACTTGAGAACAACAAGAATATCTTACCTCGTGAGCATGGCTCACTCAAATTTCAGTAAATATACAACCAAAATCAGTAGCTGCAGCAGTGTATGTATGATATACAGAACAATATATAAATGTTACCAATGAGAAACCCAAAGCATTTCTCTTTTTTTTTACTACTAAATAAGCTGATGAACTAATAGCTTTTGACGGATTCAATATTGACCTAAAAATGGATAACTAAATGGTTAAAATACCTTATAATAACCTTAATGTTACATAAAAACGCCTTAACAGGTAAAAATGAAATTACTGATAGTTTTATGCTTAATTTTTGAACGCAGTGGTTGTGTTTTCAATTTGTATGAGATTAAGACAGGTCTAGCAAAGTAAAAAAAATCATACTTAACTCGAACAAGGGGGTACAGAAATGGGGGACTGCTCCTCACAGGCCTCGTAAATTCGCTGTATCACCTCAACCAGTTCCCCACTGTAGAAAAAGAAATCATGTTGAGGAAATGAAGACGTGGCTTGGAGAAAATGGTCACTTACTAGCTCGATGGTTTAATGTAGTTATGACAACGGCTAGATCCTCAAGAGGGTGAGAAAAAGTGCTCCGTCAACAAAAAATCACCCAGGGAGGCCGATTTCCATCAAAATCGCCACAACCCGATAAATCTCCACAACCGCGGGTTGTGGGCCGTGAAGCTCCTACACGAGAGCACCGGAAATAGCACCAAATCTCCTTCAGCTCTCGTAATTACTTCTACAAAAATTATAAAAATCACCTCCAAGAAGGGTAGGAGGGTAGAATACGATTTTCTACCACAAAATTATTGGACAAGAAAAAGTGTTTTGTTATAAAGATAAAACTCTATATTCTTAAGAACTGCTATAAAATTATCATTCTAAATAAGAAAAAACGTTGTAACAATTTACTCAATCAATATATACTTGATTTTTATTTGACCATATAAAAACTGTAACATGACACCTGCATTTGTATACAGACATTTGGTATAGGGTGGGCCAGTTGAAATTTGGTATATGAATCAGCTATAAAAAATTGACTAATAGGTCTATTAAGGAATTTAAGTTTGATTGGAATTGTTTAACCTTGATACTATTTAATTGGATTTGGGGTCCATAAAAACACAGCATCCTGTTACAAAGTTGCCAAAGCTTCGGAATAAATTCCGTATTGTCGGAGAAATTGGTGTTTCAAGTTCAGATACAATTAAGATTACGTGTAAAAGTACACAAATG